TCGGCCAGTGTTCTCACGTATGATGGGTCTACCCCTTGGTCTACGAGCGCTGAAAGTATGGATTAATCTGGACGTTGTCAAGCATTCTCTCATAGCCGTCGAAGATTAGAATGAGAGGAGGCGGTACTCTCAGCAACCTAGACAATTCTCGAAACCGTCTGGATGTGATCCATGCAGCTGAATTCCTTGCAAAATCCAGCTTATTCTACACGTAATGTTCATCAAGTGTCCTTGTGAGCACAATTTTCGTAAATAGTTGTAAAGCACGCTCAACAGGCATATTGGACGGTAATTTTGAAGGTCCTCCCTATTTCCCTTCTTGGAAGGAGGGTTGTTTGGGAGATTCTACACCTCGGGGTTCCTTCCTTTTGAAGGTAAGACGTTAGGTGTGCCGCAAGCATCTCGTGTAGGCGATGTCCTCAAGAGGTCGGCCGAAACGTGGTCCGGTCCCGGAGCCGCCTTTATGATCTGAATTGCGGTGCGTACTTCAGCAGATCAAAGATGTTATTTAGTGGTACCTCTTTAGACTTCCTTCCTTGTGCTGCTTTGAAAAGTATCGACTGTTCCTTCGAAGATCTTCTTGCAAAGTTATTCTGCAACTGATGGTGGCTACCAGTCGCTCGAGGTGTAATGCAGCCGGCTCCAGCTTCGGTGCTCTCCTCTCCTCTAGCAGATTTTAGGGGACTTTCGAAATTTGTTCCGAAGCACTTTTATCACAGTCTCTCATTTTGCGAAGCAGAACATATCCTTCGTTGGGTACTCCGCGACGGGCCAGTCAAAAGTGGTCAGTAGCTCCTCCAACTGATGCCGTCATATACGACATCTTTCCTTTCTCCAACAAGGAGAAAGATCTTCTTCTCCAGTTTTCGGCTGAATCGCACTTTGCTCGAAGGAAGCCGTGTTCCAGTACTGAAGGAGGGTACCGCCTAGACGTCCAGCCCAAGCACCATCTTCGGTTAGTGAGAGTTTGGTCAATCTTCGCTTGAGTCGTACGTTAGATGACCTCCATGTCTATCGCCGGTGCTCTTTCTTCATGAAAATGGAGTTGCTATGAAAAAGTTGCACGGATGAGATCCCAACAAGATTGTTACCATTCTCATTCCCGAGTCCTGAAAATTTCGATCCTATGCTCCCTTCTTCTGGTATCTCGATTTTCGCATTGAAGTCACCTACGACGAAATTATAGAAGGACTCTATGCGGATGACTTCCTCCAAATCCTCATAAAAGGCATCAAGTTCAGAATCATCAACCGCTAATGTTGGAGAATAGCAGCTGATGACAGTGATGGTTTTTTGATGCAGAGGACGGAGTCGAAGGAAGCCAAGCGAGGTCATAGGATTTCATGCAAATCGACAAGGTGGACAACAGACGCGTGTACGACAAATCCAACGCCTCCAACATT